AAAAATATATTAGAAAAAATATATACTTGTTTCAACATTTCTCCAATTATTTATTTGAATGACTAATAATTTAAAATTATGAAAAATTCTAAATTTAAAATTCATTAAAAGAAATGTGTCGGGTATTTGATGAAATAATTTAATTTATTAAATTCTATATTTTATATATAGAGTAAGTTATTCATTGAAACTAATTTCATATTAAATTTATAACAATTTGAGATATTTAATAAACATGGACATTTTTTATTTAAAAATATACAATGTTTAATAAATTATTATAAATTGACTGTATATATAAATTATATTTACTGTACAATAACCTCTTTCTTTCTTTCTCATTACTTATATATCTATACAATTTATATTTAAGTATATATATATATATATCAAATTTTGTAGTTTTTGCTATATTAATATATTTAAATTTCTAATAAATATATAAAATATTGCATTAAAATACGGTCAAAATATTGATAACATTTTATCCCAGGTCGCATCATTGAATGTATTAAAAATATAGTAGTTTTTATATATAACTTACATACATATATAATATTGAAATTATTATGTTAAATACTAAAAAAAATTTTTAAAGCAAAACAAATATTGATTGCCTTATATTATGTATTATATTATATATATATATAATATTTGATATAATATTTTAGTAAATATTAAATTACTAAACCTAATATTATATACATATAAAAATTTATAACAGTATATCAAAGTATAGAATATGATATTTAACGCTTGAAATGGTATTAAATTTACTTAATTACACACAAATTCTTTGATTATTATTATTATGTTTTTTATATTAATTAATCATTTGGCTTATTATTATTATTATTATTGTTGCTCTCATTTCACTATCCATTAGTTATTATATAATTAGTATATGTATTGTCATGTAATTTGTTAGCAAAAAAATACAGGCATTGAATCCTTTATTAATATGATTGCCAGTGAAGTGAACACTAAGAGAGAGAGAGAGAGAGAGAGAGAGAGAGAGAGAGAGAGAGAGAGAGAAGAAAGAAAGAAAGAAAATGAATACAAGAATAAGTAGTAGAGTTTAGTTGTATAGTATTGACTACTTTTAGAGACTGTTTTACTTCGTAAATGCATTTCTAGTCGAGTGATTGCAATGTATATCCAAAAAGAACGGGTAGTCCAGGGAATTGTCGCGATCTTTGAGTCTTAATATTTGTAAGATAGTTGTGTTGTGTTTATCCTAATAGACAAACATTTTCATAGAAAACAATAGTTTTCATTCACTTTCTATACAACTGTTATATTTGTATACCAATGCCTACAATATTATTGTGTAGTCATTCAATGTCAACACAATAGTGAGTGCATTACAAACAATGTATTTCATCAAAACTATATGTTCAGTATAGTCATCATAATAATTATTATTATTATAATACAACTACTAATAATGTAATATTAGTCTTAATATTGTTATATTGTATTGACATCACTACTAATACAATAGTCATTACTATCACTGACTCTCTTTCTTAATGTGAATATCTTATTGCTCTTAACTACTGACAAACTTTTCAATTATAATATATTTATTTTTCACATCACTTATACTGTTAAGCAATATTTATTGCAATCTTTATGTGACAATTATTAGACTAATAATTTTTAAAAAATAATTGAAGAAATTTCAAATTGATTTGTGTGTTTCACTTTGTATTATACAATATATTGTTTAAATAGCATTTTGTAGTATTTGTATAAATCCTTTTACTACACAATATTGTAAAGTAGATAATAATTCAGTGGATTGAGAATTGTGTGTTTGAGTGCACTGTTATGTAGCCATAGTAGAGGACGAGTAGTACTTATAACAATATATTAGTTAATAGTAGTATTAACTAATGTATTGAGTCGTGTTTTAATCAAAAACGAAACTCCATTTGGTATTTATATCTTTAGTTTTTCCATAGTATTGAATGGATGCCAAAGGTCTATAAGTTGTGCAAAACTGCAAACTAAGCGCTTCTCTATCTCTAGGATGTGTTGTTAACTAATTTTATTCACGTTTTTTTGTTTTGTTTTATTTAGTGTTTGCTTTTGTTTAACCAATATTTTTATGGGAGCACTATATCTGAAGATAAGACATAAGTATATAGTATTTATGTATTGAAGGATTCTGTGAGAAATTCTCGATATTATATTGCCTTTGAGTTGAACTCCAATTTATAGCATCCGTTAACAGGAAAATACTTGTAAGACTTGTACTCAAAATGTTTATATCAATAACACTATTAATTCCTATCAACTTTCAATACTCAGTTAGCATCTCTGTCTGCCTATCTCTCTCTCTCTCTCTCTCTCTCTCTCTCTCTCTCTCTCTCTCTCTCTCTCTCTCTCTCTCTCTCTCTCTCTCTCTCTCTCTCTCTCTCTCTCTCTCTCTCTCTCTCTCTCTCTCTCTCTCTCTCTCTCTCTCTCTCTCTCTCTCTCTCTCTCTCTCTCTCTCTCTCTCTCTCTCTCTCTCTCTCTCTCTCTCTTTATTCAGTCAATGAAAATAAACCTAAAGATAACAAGAAATGTATAAAATATATAGATTTATATATGAAAGTAATTCGCAAATCAAATCACATCCGCTATTGATTATTAAATAACTTAATGGTTTCAGTTTAACACTACTGTATATGTGTAAACATTTTATATTATATCAAACACTGTATTATATATTATTAATATACAGTATCTTTTATCTTATTAACACTCTCTAAACACACAATTGTTATATATATAAAATATTTAATTAATGGAAATTTTATTGTTATCCAAGTGTTGTATTACAGTTGACGGCATATAATATAATGTGTGCGACAAAAAAATGCAATACCAGTTCAAATGAATGGGATGTTAGTATTTTGAGTAAATGAGATGCAAAAGTAAAAGACAATACAATAAGTGAGAGTTATTGCAAATCTTGTAATAATCAACTGTTTTTTCCTATTGTCGACTCTATCTTAATATATATATATATTGTAAGTGCTTTTCAGTTGAGCTATTTTTTGGCTGAATTTTGATTTGTATCGATCGTTAGATAATTGATCCAAAATATATGTTCATGAATAAAGAGAGAGACAGAGACTACTAACAGATGGATGAATGCCTAAAATAAGGACATCAAATGATTTGCTTATAACCCAAAATTGGAGACTCAATAAAGTATTGCTTTTCTAATTCAAATTTCTCTCCCATTTAATGCATTGCAATTCAAGCATATATCTGGTGTACAGTTATATCGACACAGTTTTTGCACATTTCATACATAATAATGAGCGCCAAATGTATACTATAAAAGATGAGTTATATCGACGAGAGTTAGGGATAGAGAGGCATCTCATCTCTCATTTCTCTGGAAAACACTGACTGAGTGTAGGGAACGGCATCTCAGACCAAATGCATGTCAATACCATTTTGTATGTACACATGTATTATATGGTCCATATGTATAACACCATCCATATGCCAGTTAGCATTATGTTAGACATTATATTATGGCTGAGCTCTATAAGCATATTGGACTAGACTTTCACGAAATGATCATTGAAATGTACAGTTAAGAGATTGCCTAATGCTTATCATTATAACTCTATGAAACACAGTAGTGTGTGTCTGTATGTATGTATGCGTGTGTGTATGTATGTATGTATGTGTGTGTGTGTGTGTGTGTGTGTGTGTGTGTGTGTTGTGTATGTATGTGTGTGTGTTTTGCCTATCAGTGCACAACTAATGCAAACATATTGTGGAAATATTTTGCACATAAACTTGTCATAAATGAATCGATAAAATTCATTAGCCTTTCAAATGGTGTGTCCGATGTCTATATGTTTTGGCAGTTAATCGCTTTTTATTAATTCCAACTACTTTTCACTTTCATATAAAAATATATTTATATAATGTTATGAAAAATAGTCAATGAATTTATTTAAATCAATTGATTTTATTGCTGGTGTCGGACACAGTCATACTAACATTGCATTGAATGAGTCACCGGCACACCAGCCGTGACTCGCCTGAGAGGGACTTATCTGGCAATTGGAGGAACTGTTAGCTAAACTGATTGCTTTTGAGACGACAATCCGCAGCTTTGCATATGAGACACGACTTTGAATGTCATCCGTTGTGATGTTTGTACAATAAATGAAACTATAATTAAATGATTGAAGAATTTACTTTTTAAAAGCACTGATAAGTTATGTCGATAGACAGGGAATGGTATATTCCCTGAATGACATAACTGTATATTTTTCAGGTCTATCTAAATGTAAGCTTAAAAACAGTACAATTCATGCGGTGCTCTTTCTCTGCGCAAAACATGTTTGTGTTTGGGAAACGGTATATAAAGGCATACATACTGTGAGAGGAAAGGCATACACTGTGAATGATTCACTGAATCTGCTTTTGAGTGGCGCTCTTGGAAACAGTCGGTTCCACTGCTGATACATCAGTCACACCATCGACACTACACCATCGATTAAAAAAGAGTTTCACTACTGACTTAACTATCATTATATGAGTTGTTCACTTCATGTATCACTGGCTTCTCCTCCACTATTAAACTACTTGTCCCACATTTTTTTGAATCATTCATTCAAAATCACTGTTCAATTATTATATAAGTTTTATGTCATTTGTCACATAAAAAACTATGTTTTTATGAAATATTAGACTTTATTTTAAATCTCTTAAATATTGCATTTGTTTTATCCGACAAAAGAGAAAAATTTATTTTCAATAAAAACTTATCAAAAAATAAATATTGATATTTGACTTTTGCAGCTGATGTTTAAGAAACTGAATTTTTATTTGATAATAAATAATGTGGAAATAAAAACATAAATTTTTGTTTAAAAAATAAAACAAAAAATAAAGTTTTCTCATTTTTTAATGTATTTTGATGATACAAGTTTTTATTTGATTGATTGATTGCATCGATTGAATATAAATCCTAAAAAATCTACTACCAGTTATTTATAATATGATGAAAACTTTTATCATTACCATTATTATCACATTTGTGTCCATCAGATTAATAGACAGCGGACAGGGAGACGATGGTATGTATCAATAATTTTTATTATAGCCATATAGTTATTACTATCAGATTATATCGTATTTTTATATTGGTTTCAATTCTCACGTGTACACTATGTCTATAATATTACATTTTGCTTTATATCTATAAATTTTTACAAATAAAAAATGTCTATACATTTATTATAATATATTTTATAATACTATTTTAGATAAGTGGATAAAATTTTTATAAATTTAAAGTACTTATTATTACTATATGTAATATAAATGACTTACATTTAATACAATCAGAGTATATATTGGACAATAAACTATCTATAATATTAAAGATGTACTTTATATAAATTTTAATAATTTTGTCTTTATATTATTATTATTATTATTATTACTACTACTACTACTACTACTACTACTACTACTATTACTATATGTTAGTATCAATAGTACAGTAGTATGATTGAGAAAACAGTAATTTACTTTAAGTGACATTGCTAAATTTAGTAAATTTAATTTATTCACTCTCTTTATGTCCATTATGTATATACCTTATCGTCTAAAACTGTATAATAATTTAGTGTCATTGCAATAATATAAAATGTGATTTACTTAATGAGTCAATTAAGCAATTTTTGTATCATTAAGCAAATTGTAATTGTAGTGGCGATTGTGACCAAAATTAATTATTAGCATTATTGCTGTCATTTAATTAGCTATATTAATATATTAGGCAATTGACTATCAGTCAGTCAATGCATAGTAGTTTTTGTTTGTGTTTATATAAATGTCACTTATTTTGTTGTATTAGTTTCACAAATAGATCTTTGCTAACAAAGTATTGCAAACAACTAAATAGCAAACAAACTCTTTTTACATAAAATACCAGAAAAATACTCAATGAGTGAGTGAGTGAGTGAGTGAGTGAGTGAGTGAGTGAGTGAGTGAGTGAGAGAGAGAGAGAGAGAGATAGTCATTTTCATAGATTGCTATCTAATAAACTATTTTTGACGATTATCTGCTAAACACAAAATATGATAAATGATTTCATTTGATCGACAATACAATTCATAACATTATTGTTAAAGAGATATAGCAATGTGTGACTCAATTTAATGATTATATAAATAGCTTATATTATACTGTAATGTGTCTTTATAAATAATATTATCGCATTGTTTAACAACTATTAATAGATAGGATTAATAAAAAAATATATAACCTATCATTAATATAATATGAAAACATTACTCTACGAAAAAAGTATGATATAGTTTTCAACATTAAGTAAAATACGATATATTAGTATATTTTTGGTAAATTGATCGCAGGTTATTTATTTAAAAGTATTATTTTCATACACTATAATTTCAATGTTATATTATTATTATTTTCGAACAAATATTTTTTAAGTAATGTTTTAATTATAAACAATATTTTTTATATATTACTCGAAGTACAGCCAAAAAATTTTATAACATTTCCCGATACGACTGTCATTTAATCAATTATATTATGGCTCATGAATTTGTTATGTTATAAATAATATTTAACTGTAAAAATTGCTTACATTGACTTTTTAAAAATATAAATATATATTATAAAGTAAATCTTAAATTTACATTTAATGATAGGAACGATATATACCAAACAATATATGAAACTTAAGTTATTTATGTTTTTTAGTATATAAACTTGTTTTTATGGATTTAATATTAAAGTTTAATTCTAGATCTATAAATAATTTTTTAATCAAAATTTTATTATAAGAAAAGTTTATTTATGTATTTATTTTATTAGTAATACTAATTGTATAATATATAACCAAACATACATTTTATTACTTTCATTACTATTTTATACATTAATATATTAAGTCTAATAAATATTTGTTTAATAATTAATATTTAAACACTTTTTTTATATTTTATATTTATATAATGATAAACTATCTATTTAAATATACAAATAACAATAAAGATATAAAAAATATTCATAAAATTTAAAAATTTTCAAATATTGTAGTGAAGTTGTAGACGTAAATTACTAAAATAAATGACTTCAAAAATGTTTATTTCATAAATAAAATGCTTTGCTGTTTAATAAAATGATAATATTTAAAGACTAAAAATGTCAACACAAATGACATGTCTTTTATGTTTTTTAAATTTTTGAAAAATGAACTCAAAAAGCAAACAAAAGGCAGAATATGTGAAACACAATTGATTTATGAATTATTTATGGGACGGTTCACTAAAAAAAGTTTCATTCAATGATAAACTAAGTTTAGTCTATATATTATAATAAAGCTATAGTTTAAATATTAGTGGCATTGTTGTTGTTGTAATAATAATAATAATAATTTTTATCATTAAATCAATATTAAGTTTAGTAAAGATATGTTTATAACAAGATTTTTTTTTTTTAAATATTAATAGTTAGTAACTATTGTAAAACATTTTTATTATTAAAAACCGCTATTTTATTAATAAATGTTTTTAAACTGTTTTGTAAATTACAAAACAACAACCAAAATCTTATCTCTAATTTTTAGGTAATTTATTAAAATTTTATGTCATGAGTTTAAAAATGCATATAAATAATTATAATTTTTTTATCAATAAATAATTATAGTAAAACAGTTACAGTAGTATGCTTTGACATAAAATTGCTATAATATAAAAAGTATGAAATTGAGTATTACTTTTAAATATCAAATAAAGTTTGCTATTTTTGTTTTTATGTCTAAAAATAAGACACAAATGTTGACAAAATTATTTCAATAATATCTTATTCTTCAACAAATGTCAGCGTTTTGTATCAATTGTTTAAAAATCAAAATATTTATTATTTGATTCAATTCAATGGCATTTGTTTTGTGCCAAAAATAAGTCTCAATTCATATACAAAATTCAATTCAATATTTATTGAATTTTCTTTAAAACGTGTACTATCTTAGTAAACATATTGGAAATAGGGTTAAAGTGTATATTATATTATTTTAAAATTGTAGATTTATGTCAATTTCACATTTAGTGACATAGGATTTAAATCTTTGTTTAATAGACAGCAAGTTTTAACAAAAAAAATTCAATGGAGAAAAATTGAGTTTATATCATAAAACATATTACTTATATTAAGAATCTATATATTGATATAAGGCTTGTCTATAATTTAATAAAAGATGTATATCTCATGTATTAGACATTCACTGTATTTGTCACTCGAGTTTTAAATAATTTGATTGTATTATACGACAAAAGTTTGATTTATTAGACAACATACAAAAATTTGAATTAAATAAAAAACTTTGGTATTAAAGTATTATAAATTTATGTGATATTAACATATTATATAAACAATATATAAAGACAGAGAGAGAGAGAGAGAGAGAGAGAGAGAGAGAGAGAGAGAGAGAGAGAGAGAGAGAGAGAGAGAGAGAGAGAGAGAGAGAGAGAGAGAGAGAGAGAGAGAGAGAGAGAGAGATTGTAAGTAAAACTAATCGAAACTCATTTTTGCAAAAATACAGAGAAAACATTTGTCTTTAACGTCAAATGCAATTATTGATTGTAAGCTCAGAGAGAAACTGATGGTTAAACCAAAATACTGGTCCCACTCAACATATATTAGTTGAACCACACATATTATGTGACCAACCCTTTGCACAATAGTGCCGACAATAAGTGCAAAATATATTATATTAACGATACGTCATCTATAGTCTTAAAATTGCCAAAAACAGATCATTACATTTTAGTATTATTAAACTATTTCATAAAAAATAAAAGTTTGGTTTTTAATTTATTCAATAGTATTTGAGTTTATATTCAATGCAAACTATTCACATATTTGCAAACATTTTTTTTTGTTACTTTATTGACAATCAATATAATAGATATCAAAATTGAATTTTTCAAACGCTTCAAGTATTTAAAGTGTTGGCCAAAGTGTTTGAGTGGTAAAGGGTTTTACATTATTGTATGTTATAAGGAATATTCATATTATTGACAGCTTTTATAAAAAAAATTATTGCATTTCTCTCTTTCTCTCCACAAACACCCACCCACTCACCCACTCATTCCTTAGCTCTTCTGTTAGATTAATAAATAGATATTTAAGTAAATTTAAAATACTATTTCATGTGTTGAGTCTATTTAACACATATTTTACATAACAATGCGTTTTACAGTCAGTAAGTCATATCTGATCTAATATTAAATAAAAAGTTTTTTTTTAAATAAACGATTTAAATGTAAATTTAAAATACTGCACATAAATTATTTTCAATATTATTTCTATTTATTAATAAAAACAATATCTGTGTAAATGCTATTCACTTCATTAATGTCTTGTAATATTGTTAATCAAACATTTAGTTGGGTTTTGCACAATATTATTAGATATTATTATAAATGAATCGATGTTTTCAAACCCAATGGAGATGAGGATTGGGATCACAGACCACTGCTTGGGATGATTACATATATATATATATATATGGTTTATAATATATATATATATATATATATATATTGTTCACACACTTACTGGCGATGACTCGTAGTCTATGACTCACCAAAAGATTTAGTTTAACGACTATTATTTAAGTGATGGCAAAGCCTATGCTTTAGTTGTATTTAAACCGTTTGCCGATAGAAATATGCCATCAATTTTATTATATAATTACAAATCGATGCGATTATGGATACAAAACATATATATATAACATATACTATTTTCTCACAAAAAATATCGTTTCCAGTGAAGGAAGTTAAGTGATGACCATTAAATTCATGTCATATATTGGTTAATATGGGTTAGGGATGCCATGAAAATGATTAAAATTTATTTTTCATTACAATTTAGTTTCACTACATTTAGTTATATTATTTGTAAAGCAATTTTATTTTATACTTTTTATAAATATATATTTCATAGAAATATGATATTTGTTTAATCCTATTATTGATTGCAAACTGTAACTGTTTTTACATCAACAAAAAAAATTTAAACTAAACTAAAATCT